AGCCCTTGTGAGGCCCCAACTGCAGAAATGAAGTACCCCAGGCCCCCAGCACAAGAAGGATATGGAGCTGCTGGAGCAGGTCCAGAGGAGGTAATAAAGATGCTCAGAGGGCAGGAGCACTTTTTCTGTAAAGAAAGGTTGAGGGAACTGAGCTTATTTAGCTCGGAGAAGGCTCCAGGAAGACCTCATTGCAGCCTTCCAGTACTTATCAGGAGCTTAGAAACAGGAGACAGATAGTGATAGGACAAGAGGGAAGGGTTTTAAACTAAAAGAGGGGAGATCTAGGTTAGATACTGGGAGGAAATTCTTTATGCCAGAGTATGCACTGGCATAGGTTCCCCAGGGAAGTTTTGGATGCCCCATCCCTGAAGGCCTTCGAGGCCAGCTTGAGTGGGACCCTGGGCAGCCTACTCAGGTGGAAGGCTACTCTGCCCATGACAAGGGTTTGGAACTGGATGGTCTGTAATGTCCCTTCCAAACTAAGCCATTCTGTTGTTATATGAATGCATGTCTAAGCATCTCTGTTGTAACAGGAAACATTAATTTATACTACCTGAAAGAAGTAGGTGACAGAACTGAAGCTTCTGAAGGGCTATTTGGTGGATGATGCTATGCTGTCTGGCTGGTATGTAGGTTTGTCAGTGGGTGTAGATGAAGGAAGGATTCAGCAAGGAAGCTTGTGATAGAGGAGGCAGCATGGCACAAGCAGCTGAAGAAAATTGCCTTTGAGAAATGTTTGGGCTTCCTAGATAAGTGGTGTAGGATGTTTTGTGGGACTGCAGCGGCAAAAGCTTGTTGCAGAAGACTTAAAAAGTTAAAGTCTCCAGTTACATCATCTGCAAACTACCTCAGTCTTTCCAATACTCTTAGCTATGGAGAGCATCTCTCATGTCCATGTTGTCCAAGACAAACAAATGGTGCTGCTGCATGATAAGTGATAGCTCAAAGTGCCTTTTTCAGACATTTACTGAGTAGTAGTAGCAGCAGCTGGGAGTTTCCATGTTCTGCATTGTCCTGCACAAAGCTGAATGGTGCAGTTGACATAAGCAGGGATGCTATCCAGAAGGTCCTGGGCACGCTTGAGAGGTGGGCCTGTGCCAACCTCATGAAGTTCAACAAGGCCATGTGCAAGGTCCTGTACCTGGGTTGGGGCAGTCCCAAGCACAGATACAGGTTGGGAAGCAAGCAGCCCTGAGGAGAAGGATTTGGGGTTGTTGGTTGGTAAAACACTCAATGTGAGCTGACAACGTGTGCTTGCAGCCCCGAAGGCCAACCCTGTGTCCAGTTCTGGGGACTGCAACACAAGAAGGACATGGAGCTGTTGGAGCAGAAGAAGGCCACGAAGATGATCAGAGGATTGGAGCACCTCCACTATGATGACAGGCTGAAAGAGCTGGCGCATTTCAGCCTAGAGAAGAGTCTGGGGAGATGTTATAGTGGCCTTCCAGTACCTGAAGGGGCCTACAGGAGAGCTGGGGCAGGACTTTTTGTCAGGGCATGTAGCGACAGGGGGGGGGAAAATGGCTTTAAACTGGAAGAAGGTAGATTTAGACTAGAAGTTAGGAAGAAATTCTTTACTGTGAGGGCGATGAGACACTGGAACAGGTTGCCCAGTGAGGTTGTGGATGCTCACTCCCTTGAGGCATTCAAGGCCAGGCTGGATGGGGCTGTGAGCAACCTGGTGTAGAGGGAGATGTCCCTGCCTATCGCAGGGGGTTGGAACTAGGTGATCCTAAACATCCCTTCCAACCTAAAGCATTCTATGGTAAGTTTCCACTTCAGTTTTTTGTGGACATTTCATGATAACTGTGACTTGTGGGATCAGAAACAGGCTAATATTGTAAGAGACCCCAAAAATGTTGCAAATGCAACAGCCACTGCCTCTGATCAGGGATATCTGCTTTCTGATCTACTCTGTGCACCAGTGGCTTTGCAGTTTTTGATTACATGAGTTGCTGTGAAACCCTCACTGACTTAAATTTCTCCAAGTTGCTTCCAGCTATGGGTGCAGTGTTTTTCTGAGCGCATATTGTTACTTCCAAATATTTTTTTTTCCTGGAGAGAATGGATAATAGAACTAAAGTTTCCTACAGGAGTGAGCATTTTTGAGAGTCTGTTGTATGCCATTTATTTATATATTAGCTGTCCCTTTAACTTCTGGAATGCATTGTGCAAGGCTGCTGTGGAATGTAGTGGAGAAATGATGATCGGCTACTGCAGGCAGTGGAGAATGGTGATCCTGAAAAAAGTCATATTAGAAAAATACTTAAGCAACAATTGATACCTGCATAGTTTCTTTTTCTTTTTTCCCCCTATTTGGACAGTTGGAGACCCCATTCCATTTTGCAAATAATAAAAAAAAAAAAAGGTCTCTAAATAGATTTATATAACATGCATTATAGTTAAATGTATATAAATCTCAGAAAGATTGAAAAGAAACTGGGTCTTTCATCTTTTAAGAGTCTTACAGAGAATGCAGCTATTTAAATTAAATTAATGAGCCTGTTACACACCGACAAAAGGAATCTGTGTTCTTTTGTCTTTCAGGAGCAAAACAAAAGAGCTTATATGATAGCATTAAAGATGTTATAGCATCACTGAGGAAATCTGAAAACATGCAATTTAAAAAAAGTACAGTTGGATTAAGTATTTGACAGCCTGTAAGACTGGTTATTTCTTCAGCAAATCTCAGTCATAGTGTTTAGAAGAAGAGGTACTAATTAGATACAGAATTAGCACCTTGAAAACAAAGGTCCAAAATGACATATTTTTCTGTTTTAGTCTCTAGTCTACTTGACTTTCATCTAAATAGGGAAAAGAATTACCGGCATTGGCATAAAAATACAAGGGAATGGACATTGGTGGCTGTTCTTTGATGCTGAGATGGAGCTGGCAGACCTGAGTTTTTCAGGGTCTTCATGAGAAACTGCTTTGCCTAACATCTTGTGTGTTTGACTCTGTTTAATTCACAGATAGAAGGGATTCTGACTAGTGGTACCTAAGTTAGGGTTATCAGTTACCTGCTGTCTCCTCCTTTCTGAAGACTGGGGGGGAAAAAAGGTGCAGGATTTAGGTGCTATTAGGTGCTTTGCAGTCATCAGGGAATTCATTAAGTATCATATATTTAAATATCTTATATGACCGCATAATAAAAAACCCACAGAATCAGAAGTAAGCACCAAAACAGAAGGCACAATATGTTGTCAAACAAACCGTTAATTTTGAAACATTTTATTTACCAAGAATATATTTTTTCCTTTACATCTGTTTTTGATAGTAGGCTCTCTTTAAAAGGATAAAAATTCCTAACTGAAGAATATGCAGTGAATTTCATTTTAGGTGGAGCCTGCTGCTTGAAAGGGTATTCATTGCCATGTAGTCTAAGTACTGCTAGGGGAAACATCATTTTTGCAGACAAAACTATTGCTCTGCAATCTACAGATATCTATTTCAGTGGTGTAAGAATGAAGAATATAACCTGCTTGACGCAGTTACCCACCAGTCATAACAGTCTCATCAGCCTGCAGTCGTTCTTTGTCTTTTGCATGCCACTTCCTTTGACAGAACAGCCATTCATATTCCTGGTTCCAGGTGTTGCTCTGTCAACTCCTCTCTAATTTCTTGCCTGGACTGTACTCTCACATTAATGTTGTGTTACTGTTTTTTTTTTTTTTTAGTTCGTTTTCTATTAAAAAAAAAAAAATCATTTATTTCACTTTTAAATAGTTAATAAGGTGGAACACTTTCCTTCCCTTCTACTTTTGAGAGAGTGCAGAGCCTGCAGAGCTGGTTTGTACCAGTGTGCAGCGCATACATTTTTTTCTCACAAGTCCAGACGGCAGAGCACTGAACATTTTGTTCAGCTAGTGACAAAAAAAAAAATCTCTACAAAGTGTTAGAACAAAGTGCTCTTTAAACAGAATATTTCTCAAGGAGCATATTAATATGATTTCAGTCTTTGCCAAAGTTGTTTGTGTAGAAGTCCAGTACTGATGAACAGATAGTTATGCTGGAGATGAGCTAACTGATGTCAAAGAGAAGGCTGTAATCTCTTGAAGGTACTTTACTGACTGTAGCAGGATGCAGTGCTAAGCCAAAATGCATCAGATGTTTTTCCTGAAGGCTGTACCTTGTTGTTAGTCTAGAAAGCATAGCTGGAACTTTTCCTGAGTGTTATTATTTTGCTGTAATTACATGGGATATAAAAGGTTACTATGTTTTCTTAGTAACTTCCTAGATTCTGGTTACAGATCTGGTAGAAGAAATACACTGTGTCCTGAGAGCCTGGAATCATAGGGGGCATCATCAATCGCATTAGGAAGTAGTGTCTTTTCACTGATACAGGCAATCAAAATCTCCAAACGGATATTACTGAACTGTTTTTGGAAAGGTTTAAATGTAAGGTGCTTGTCTTTCGCTTTCAGTCGTACTATGGATGTACTGTCTGTTATAGCTTGATTTGTTTTAAAGGCAGGCATGGGGTTTAAAAGCTCAGTAGAATCAGTTAGCTATCAAAGGTAAGTCTCCTGACCTGTTATGCTCCATGAAATGAGACAATGGGAAAGACCTGAAATATGTAAAGTTTTGGCTGGCCTGTCTTTGTAGGGTGGGATGTGAATCAGCTGAGATAGCTCATTGGTTATCCATCTGATGTGTGTGATGAAGATTTCATCGGGTAAGTCCAGCTCCAAAATAGAAAGCAGGACTAGACAAATGATGGAGAATTCTTTCAAATAGAGTAGGAGCAACATCTGCACTACTCTCCTACAGTGTTTCTGTGTCAGAGATCATCTTTAGTGGTGACTTAGATCCTGGCTTGAGCATTTGACTACTTGGGAGCTTGTGCTACACAGGTTGCAACTTTATTTAATGCAGCTATATCTGCACTTTCTTTGGGCTTTTGACTGAGCTTTCGTTGGTGCTGAATATGTGCAAGATCATTCCAGAAAGCCTGTGCACAGTGCTAGTGCTAATAATGTTTCTTTCTCCTTTTACTGCAGACTAATGAGTGGAATAAGAATGATGATCGGCTACTGCAGGCGGTGGAGAATGGTGATCCTGAAAAAGTGGCTTCATTGCTCGGTAAAAAGGGAGCCAGTGCCACCAAACAAGATAGTGAGGGGAAAACTGCGTAAGTCTAACTTAAATTTGTGATTTAAATATGATAGTGGGGAAAAGTAGCCTTGGATGTGTATGCCACTTCTAAGAATGAAAAACCAGAGACCATCCTGAAAACAAAGGTACCATGTCTTAATGAGAAACCTGCTGAACTAAATTGAAGCTCATCTGCTGGACAGATCGAGCCTATTTTGGTACAGAGTATTTTGAGACTTGGGAATTTCATGACACTGTACAGATTGCACACTCCAAAAGGCATTAATCTTTGGGTCTATTTTTTCCTGTGAGCATTATCTTAATGACATAGAACTGAAGATAACTTTTCTGTCTAACGATTTAGTTTGAATTGAAGATTTTGTGACGGGCTTTTAAAATCTTGCAGATAGTAAAGACCTGTTCCTTGTTTTGATTGAAATTTGGCAGTGAAAGTTTTGTGTGAATGAGATTTCTTTCACATTCTCAGTATATTTTTCATTGAGACTCGGTGTATTATTTTCTTCTATTCTTCCTCTTGTTCTCTAATGAACAGTCTTAACTGTGGAAGATAAAAAATTACAGTAAGAAAGTTACAACATGGGATTGTTGTCTTTAAGCTTTCTTAAGGGCCTGGGAGATGATTAAATAAGTGTAAAATAGGCTTCCCATGAGAAAACCAAAGCCTTCAAAAATTCTGGATAGATGGAGAGAAAGGAAAGCAATTTCTAGTCTTAGGATAGACAGAGTGAGGCAGTTTGTAACAAATAATAATTTCTAGTGAATTACCTTTGCATTATTTATTGAGTCACATTCTGTTTCTTGCTTGATCTGTTTTGAGTTTTCTACATCTGCGTTATTTCTGTTCTGCATCTGAGGAAACTAAATGATGGCAGCAACTCATAATGATCTGCAGCTTCTTACTGCAAAAGTCCACATTCTCTTAATTATTTTAAGTGGCCTTTCTTCACACACAGTATGATTTTAATTTTAAAAATTGCATGTGTGCATTTTCTTTTGAAAAAGGCATACTCAGAGCATGACTTCTTTCAAGTCCTCCGAAATAGAGATATATTTAGCATTTTGTCTTTTTCCTAGTCAGGAAAACCTTGGAGCTGAAGTCCAAAGCTCCAATGTGTCCATTGTAACACCAGTATTTTGCAAGTTTCGTATATAATTTGATACTGATTTTTTTTTCTAGGAAGCCAAGCAAGACTGAAATTATCAATAAATATACACAAGTCTTTTGACTCTTAATATTGAGATTGCAACTGTAGGGATTTGGTGCAATGGCTTTCATGTTTACGGAAACAAACTTCAAAATTTACTTTTCTTTGTAGCTGCAAATAAAGAAGTCAACTATATATTTCTATTAATTATGCAGCTATTAATTTTGCAGATACATATACTGTTAATTTTAATATAATGAAATATATATGAAATATAATTAGATTTAATTTTATTTTAGAAATATGAATTAATGCTGTGAATATCTATGTTTTTTACTAATTTAGTATGCTGAGCTGATTATCAGTTACTTTTAAAGTATTTCTATGTAATGCTTTAAAAAACTTGAGAGAATGCAAAAAATACCATTGTTGTGATACAGAAATACAGCTTGTAAGCTCTCATTCTGTTTCTTTGAGAAAATCAGCAGACCTGCAGGAATTATTTCTTCGTTTTGAAAGATGGCGACAGGTACAGAAGCCATTACACTGATATGGAGAGACACAGCTACCAAAGAATACTGTTCTCTAGTACGGCTTATTACTAACAGAAGTTTCTTGTTTTAATTTTCCCAATTTCAGAGTCTTTAATTTATAGTGTGTCTGTACACATGTATGCTCTAAAACCAAAATACAGTTGCCTAAGCAACATTTCTAAATGCAGAATGAAGCACAGCCACAATTTCCATCCAGATAGGCTTGTGTCTGCTGTATTTGCAGTATGATGCCAGGGCTTATACCTGCACAGTGAATCCTGGTGCCTAGCAAGCTGTTTTGTTCTGCCTCTGGATCTCTGGTTAGAGGCAGACACAGCTACAGCCTAGCACTGAGTCTAGCAGTGTCCCACAGATGCATGGTACTAATTTGTCAGCTACCTCTTCTGGAGCATGGGAGACTCATGCTGGGAAAGAGCAGTCTGGATAAGTCTTTTTGGACAACTCAATACAATCATGCTCAAATGTCACTAATTAGTTTAGAAAGTGGTCTGCTATGCTATTTGGGAAGGAAGCTTTGCTAATCAGTGGCCTATTGATTGATCGATCCCTGTGAGTATATATTGATGCATTTGTTTATTTAATTAGTCTGAAGGTGACTAACTGGAAGGGTATGATGGATTCAATTATGTAACAACTTGCATAATGTGATTACAGCTTCGGAATGTGCTTGAAAGCACAAAAGGAAAAACAATTTGTTTAGCTCTTTGTTATCCGTTCACTTAAAGTGCAAAGTGTTTTTACTTCAGTGTCTTCTTACTATCTCTTTCTTAATAACTCTTCAGACAAAATTCTTGATATTGCTCAGATCTTTATTTGAAGCATAGTTTTTAAACAAAAGATGGAGAAGACTAATTTTTTCAGGCTTAAGAGTACATTTCTAATGTTTGGTTTTTTGTTTTTTTTTTTTTGTAAACAAATTCTTAATATAAAATGCTCGAGCTAAGAGGAACAGAGACAACCCACAGTTTTCTGCATCTGTTCTGTTGAATATTGTGTGTGTCATTCTACTGAATCCTGTTCCAGCGTTCTTCAGCTCTGGCTCAGATTTGGACATAATAAATTTTGCCTCTATCTTCTTTTGCTCCAGTCCTACAAATACATTTGTGAATTACCCATATGCAGTAAAATACAGAATTTTTAATTAATGTGGTCAAGGGGAGTAGGTATATTGTTTGGAGATTGTATTAACAGATTTTCATCTGGAGTTTTAATTCCCCAGTAGTAACTCTTAACAAAAAAAAAAAAAAAAAAAAGTCAAAGTAGTGAAAGAAAGTTTTTAAGTCTTGCCTGACATCCCTACCACCACCACCATACAGCCTCTGACTCAGACCTTTCTATAAACAATAAATTAGTTTTCAGGCTATGGAGCAAATCCACCTTTGGTGTAGGTTGACAGAGCTCCATTATTGCTCCCACTTATACTGCACAGACTATTACCAAGTACATTTGTAATAGAACCTGTCTGGAAATCTGACTCTGCCATTGTAGTCCTATTCTTCCAGATGGTGATTTTTTTTTCTTGTCCAACTTCCTTAAACAGCAAAACAGTGCTTTCCAATTTGGAAGTTGAGCATTTAACTCCCACTCAAACTAACAATAAAGGCTTTTCAAGGAGGGGATAGGATTTATTCAGGTACTACTCTTTCCACAAGAACAAGTTTTCAAATGGACTGTTATTTACATATTTTGCTGCTATTACTGGAACAACAACAACAACAAAAGTAGTCAAACTTTGGAAATAATTCATAATGTATAAATGGCAGCACTTCCATGTCCTGAAGTTATTTTGTCTGTGTGCCAGTGCATCAATGCCATGTTTGCATGTTTTTTCAAGATACTGAACTAGAAACAAATGCTTATGACTATTAAATGAAGCAAAAGATCTCTGTAATTTAATTTATTGCAGTTGTATCAGCTGTTGCTTAATGAAATGAGTAAGATGATATAAAAAAGCTTTAATTCTCTACAAATGCACTTTCACAAAACTGTTGTCAATGGCAGTCAGCAGAAATGATGAATTTTCTTTTGAACAAGAATGTTCATGCCTGAGACTGAGCTGGAAATAAATTTTGGAGCATGTTCCAACCCCAAATCCTTTAACTTGTTCAAAGTATTCAGTTTTCCTTTCTCGCTTTTCTATCTTCTTGTATTAGGAGATAAGTGAAGTTGCAGGATGGGCATCACCATTTGACGAGTAAATTAGGTGTTAAATGTTTTTTTGTGAGGAACATCTTCCTTTTATGTGTTCATGTTTCCTATTGAATTTATCTTAGTAGGAGCTTTTGAAAGAATACGTGTTTACTGCAGTTATTATACTGTCCTGATTGAGAGAGAAAGCCATAGAAATGATTTAGACAGCTCACCTCCAAAACCAGGGAAATACCTTACCAAATGAGTGCAGTGTCTGTGGAATGGAAGAGCTGCAGTATCCTTCCTTTGTTGATTCAGAACTGTATTAATCCTCTAGAAGACCTTCAAAATTAAGGAAGTTTCCACATTTTATTGTGCACATACTGGAGCTCCTCACTAAAACATCATACACTAGGGGATGTTTCCTTTGCACAGACAGAATCAAGAATCACAGAATCACCGAGGTTGGAAAAGACCTTCAGGAGCATCCAGTCCAACCATCCTCCCATCACCAATAGTTCTCACTAAACAATATCCCTCAACACAAAATCTAAACGTTCCTTGAACACCTCCAAGGTTGATGAATCCACCACCTCCCTGGGCAGCCCATTCCAGTGCCTGACCACTCTTTCAGAGAAGTCGTATTTCCTAATGTCCAACCTGAGACTATGTTACCTCCAGAAATTGACCTAACACTTAATTAGAAAAGCATCCTAGCATATTTTCTTCTAAAAATTGTACCAAGGTGGGAGCTATAAGAAATATCTAATATCTGAGCATCATTACCTCCCTAGGAATGGAGTTCATTGGTGTTCCAAAAGCTTGATAAGTTCTCTGTCAGAAAGCAATTTTTGACTAACATTTATCATAGTGTTTAATTTATGGTTGTCCAGATGGTAACAGCAATGTCTACATTTCAGAATATAGACAAAATAAAGACAACCACATGATAGAGTAATCTCTATCCATGTTTTACTGCTCAAGAACAGTAAAACTGGAATCTGGATCTTGTTTCAAAATGTCTAGTAAAGTTTGTTTTTGTGGGAGATTGGTTGTAAATGCTTTTATTTTTCCAAAATTTCCTTGAAGTTCTTTTCAGGTTAATATCCCGATTGCTCATTTTAGTTTCCCCTGCCCGCCACAGCATTGTTATGAATTTGATTCAATTAAGGTGTTAATATTAAATT